GTACTGAGAGGTATAGGCAAGAAGCTGAGGGCTGGAGGTGGGGGGGTGAGAGCTAGAGAACGGCTGCTAAGAACTAGATGTTGGGATTTGGGTTCTAATAGCTGAGCGTTTGGGGCTGGGACTAGCCATGAACCTAGCTCTGAAAGCTGGGGTTTGGTGAATGAATGCTGGGAGCTGAGAGGTAACTGCTAGGGCTGGGAGCTAGCTGCTAAAGGCTGAGAGCTGTGTTTGGGGAACTGGGTGCTAAAGAGCAAGAGATTGAAAGCCAAGATCTGTGAGCTTGGAGCCAGTGGCTAGAAGTTAGGAGCTAGGGCTGAGGCTGTGAAGAACTGGCAACTGGGGATAGGGGTTGGAAGATGAAGACTAGAGCTATGATTTGGGGTTTTGGTGCAGGGATTTGAGGCCAAGGAGCTATAGATGTGGACTGCTTGTTCTGTCAGGGAAGACCCAGGGCATTGGCAACCACGCAGCTGTAAAGACAGTGACTGTCTTAGCAGCCCAGGGAACAAACCCCTTGCTGAGAAATGAATAAATAGATGAGGGATCCTAGCAGCTCTGGGCTTATAGAAGGACCCAAGGGCCTGTGAACTGAAACTAGACCTAGGCTTAGAACCTGTGCATAAACACCTTGAGGCTGGAGGGCAGGAGGTACAGAGACCCTGCAGAAGCTTGAATGGGGTTCTGGCAGGTCGGTGCTGGGTGTGCTGGGCTGGACTGAGGCCTGGCCTGAGCTGACTGATGAGAAGCAGGTCATAAGAGGCAGGAGAATGAACTGGCAGGACTCAAGGGCAGGAGGGGCCAGCACAGGTACATGTAGAAGACCCCAGGTGGTAGAAACTCCAAAACTGAAGAGCAACCAGTGGTTTTGTCTAAGGGCCCAGGTCTATCTAGGGGTGGTGGTGTTACAGGGGTCAAAAGGTAGACAAACTGTTTGAAACCTGGAGTATACATGGATGAGAGATGAGAAGCAGTGAAAGAGGACCAGTGGATAAGATCAGGGTGTAAGGGAGCAGGGGATGGGATTAAGTTTCCGTAGTCTGAGGACTCAGGGACAGGGGGTATACCTCAACCAAGAGCTCACAGTACACGCACAAGTAGGGAAAAAGGGGGCCCAAGGGCAGGTACAGGCTCCTCTAGACTGAGGGTGGGTTGGAGACTCCTGCTTTCAGCAGTGTCTGAGGATGGATGGGACTCAATCTGAAATAACAAACCTAGGGTTCAGAGATAGAGGCAGAGACAGAAAGGTATGCTGAGATTGAGTTGTGGTGGGGAGAGGAGGTAGGGCTAAGTTTAGGATGGATGAACAAAGAACTGGACAGTGGGCAAGAAGCAAAGGCAGGCTACAATGGGTCAGGGGCTACATTGGGAAGAATGGAGGTGCTGCATTGGCAGGGCCACAGGAACAAAACCAGTAGAGCCTAGGTGCTCAGGCCCAGAGGAGCAAATTACAAGAAGCCTGGGCTGGAGTTAAGACTGGGTTTGTCAAGGGGTGAGCAGCAGAGAAAGATACTCCCATGATCCAAAAGAGATAGTCCAGGACAAGGAGGGCCAGGTGACAATCACTGACCTGACACCGGGCCTGGGAAGTCTTCACTGCAGAGAAAATCCCATCTGCAGGAAACTGCAGAAAACCTCAAGTCACAGAATGCAGAGAGTGGGGCAGCAAGGGGCTCTGGGTAGAGAGACACGGACCAGTCTCTCTACTCAGGGAATAGAGGTAGCAAGGGCTTGCAGGCAAGGAAAGGGCTAAACTAGGGAAGAGGAGCAAGGGACAGACACTGGCTCAGGAACCATACAGAAGCTGTAGGGACAGGGCCCACAGTGAGGGGTCTAGTAGAGGACCAGATCTGACACTCAGGGAAAGTAGTGTCCTGACGTCATTCATATCTGAAGCTAATTAATGAACATAGTGGGAGGCTGTGTCTGTGAGATCCCAAGGTTGAGAACTAAAAGCTCTCAGTGATCATGAAGGTCCCAGGGTTATAAATGAGATCCTTGAAAGAGGTAAGGTCAAAGATGTCCCAGGTCTAGGGACCTCCAGGGAAGGATTACTAAGCTGGGAGCAGGAGAATCTGGAACATATTGCCCAGGTATGTGTCCATGAGAACAGAAGACAGACCTGGTCTGCAGACAGGCTCACTTGACCTGGGCACATGGTCACCTGGGGTCTCCTTTCTTGTAGCCACTACCACGGCCCCTTCAGTGTTCCCCCTGAAGCCCTGCAGCGGAAGCACATCTGACTCCAATGTGGCCCTGGGCTGCCTGGTTACTGGCTACTTCCCGGAACCTGTGACAGTGTCCTGGAACTCTGGCACCCAAATGACCTTCCCAGCCATCCTGAAGTCAAATGGCCTCTACTCCTCCAGTAGCATAGTGACTGTTCCCTACAGCAAGTTGAACAGCCAGACCTACACCTGCAGCGTGGCCCATCTTGCCAGCAACACCAACGTGAAAAGGGACATTGGTGAGCCATGGGCAGAGTTTCAAGGGGGAACCCACAGCTATATCCACAGCAGACAGACTCATGGTCATTCTATGACCCTGGATGCACCCTACCTGTCTCTGCAGGAGGAGCTCTACCTGTTCCTCCTTGGGGTCCCTCAGGTTCAGGGAATGTGGTTTCCTAGGGGCCCCACAAGTCTAAGAAAGACACAGGTTGGATGTCCATATCTCAGCCCCTGGGTTCAGAATCAGATGGTGGGTCTCACAGCTGTCTAAAGTCACATAAAAGAACATGACTTGATCTCTCCTGGCTGGGATGCTTCTGTCTTCTCCACCAAGGTAACCTCGCCCCTTATCTGTCTGCTTTTTCTACAGAACCAACAACTGGCCCAAAACCATGTCCACAACAATGTACAGGTAAACTGAACCCCACCCGTACGAAGAAGAACCTACCCCAGTGAGAGGACAAGCCCAGTCCATGCTCCAGATCCTCCACTTTGTCACTAATGCTCAATTCTTCCCAGCAGATTTCCTGGGAGGACCATCTGTCTTCATCTTCCCACCCAAGCCCAAGGACATCCTCATGATCTCCCGAAACCCTGAGGTGACATGTCTGGTAGTGGACGTGGGTCAGGATGATTCCAATGTGGAGTTCAGCTGGTATTTGGATGGTACAAAGTTACACACAGCCAGGAATGGGCCACAGGAGCTACAGTTCAACAGCACCTACCGCATGGTCAGTGTGCTCCCCGTCATGCACCAGGACTGGCTCAAAGGCAAGGAGTATATGTGCAAGGTCAACAATGGAGCCCTCCCGTCACCTATAGTGAAGACCATCTCCAAGGCCAAAGGTAAGACATTGGGTAGATGGAGAGTGGTGGTCAATGCCACCCTCCCCAGTAGGAATAACACCTCTAACTCCCATCCCAACAGGGACGATCCAGGAGCCACAGGTGTATGTCCTGCCCCCACACCGCGATGAGCTGGCCAACAAGAAGAACAAGGTCAGCCTCACCTGCATGATAATGGGATTCTACCCAAAAGAAATTGCTGTCGAGTGGAAAAAAAATGAGCAGCCAGAACCTGAGAGCAACTACGTGAACACTGATACCAAGACAGACCCTGATGGGACACACTTCCTATACAGCAAGCTGACGGTGCAAAAGAGCGACTGGCAGCAAGGAAACAATTACAGCTGTGCGGTGATGCATGAGGCACTGCACAATCACTACACCCAGAAATCTGTCTCTCAGTCTCCTGGTAAATGAGCACCAATCAGCACAACTCTTGAGTGCCTCCCACCCCTTCCCACCCACTACCACTCACTGGGGTCCCTGAGTACACCTGAAATCTCACTTGTAAATAATCCCCCAGGAGATCCATCCCAAAATAAAGCACCCAGCTCTACCCTGGAGTCCTGCAAGACTGGCATGATTCTTTTCGAGTCTCATTTGAGCATGGTTCTGCCAGGCTGCAGGCAAAAGCAGGGCTGAGACCTACACTGTCAATATTGGAGGAGAGTTGGGTGTCTGTTAAGGCCACCCAGAATGGGGTCTGCTGTGGGACTGCCTGATATAAGGACAGGTCTCTCAAAAGTGGTGCCCCTCACTGGACGTCCCCTCCACCCAGAAGCTACTCTAGGTAGATGCACCAAAAAGAGGAGAGGTGGTGGAGAAACTATATATCTTTTTCCCATGGATCTCTGTCCATGAGGCCCAACATGTGGCTCTATGTTTACATGGGGGCTTCTGGGTGTGGGGAAAGGCCCTGCTTTTCCTCTGCGGTTCCCAAAACAGTCCAGTCCACACAACACAACTCAGTAGTGGGTCTGCCCAAGGGAGGGAGAGCACTGGTCAGACAGGAGCGCAGATCCATGGAAAATAAGAGCCTTATGCTAGACAAAATTTCAACACCCACTGGTCACCTTCACATACTTTGTGCACACATGTACACACAAACATATTGCACTATGCATACATCAACAAACATACACCTATAACACATGAGTACATGGCACATAAACATTCTCATATGGACCATACACAAACACCCACACATGTATACATATAAATACATGCACACATAAACACATGGCCACTTGGCACACAAGAACTCTCATGTAAACATATGGGCACATATGTACACATGCACTCTAGTACAAATGTGCACACACATACACACAAAGACATGCATGTCACTCATACGTGCAGTCACTCACAAGCACACACATGCATACACAAATGCCCATGGTTATGCATGCACACACATGAGATGACTCACACACATCTTTGCACACATATGTACAAACATGTGCATACATACACAAAGGCATACACATAAAATCACAGGCACACACTTACTTAAACATGCACAAATTTCATATACATGCACACAAGTACATATGTACTTGCATGCATAGTCCTTACACACTGGAGCACCAGTGTAAGGTAAACATAAGGTAAACTACACAATGGCTCCGCATGAGTCCCTGGGAGCACAGTCCCCAAGCCACATGAGCACACACCAGCCTCATCCCATACCTTATGATGTTGCATGGGATAGCCCAACAGAACAGGCTGCTTACAGCTCATCTGAACCTGACCAGCTCAGACAAGCCTGCCTAACTGCAGGGACCCACACTCTGGACACACTCAAGGAGACAGGTCTCCCAGCCTCCTCACATAAAAGTCCACCTATGATGATAAAGACTATCACAAGCCTCCTGCACACTCACATTCCCACCCTCTCACACACAGGATCAAAAGCCTCTCACTGTCTCCAATACCAGGGACTCACTTCTCAGCACTGTGTTTCTCCATGGAGGATTGACTCTGCTGTCGCTTCTGACCTCTGTATTTTTCACCCAGGATAGAAAGAGGCAGTGGAGAGGGTTACAGGCTGCAGGGGGACTTGGAATGACCTGTCCATAGATGACCACATTATACTGCACTGACCATCCCCAGGCAGGCAGTCAAGCAAAAGAGTGTGATTCGTACAGTTGGTCAGGTAGTGATAGGGGTCAGGGATTCCCAGATATTCTGGAGCCCAAGCTGTAGGAGAGAGATTATGGGATTGAGAACACTACCCAAGACTGGGAATTCGTTCCCAGCACTTTCTAGACATATCGAAGATGGCAGCCCAAGCATGGCCAGGGAAAGCTGACTTGAGGCCTAACTGGTCCAGCCATTCCTGTGAGAGGACTGCAAGGCCACCTCTGCAATGATGGGGCCCTTCCCCCTGCCCCCATCTTTGTACTGCTCCCATATCAATGACACTCCCACTAAACCCATATTCCCTGCCCAGAACTATACCCGGACGAGAGCTGTGCGGAGGCCCAGGATGGGGAGCTAGATGGGCTGTGGACAACCATCTCCATCTTCATTACACTCTTCCTACTCAGCGTATGCTACAGTGCCACCATCACCCTCTTCAAGGTTTGTGCACCAGGGCCTCTGTCTTACACCAGCTCCCAGCCCAACACCCTCCTCCACAGGGGACTTCTCTGCCATAAAGGTTGCCATCCACTGACTGGGTGGGTGGGCAGAGAGATGAATGGGGTCGCATGGCTCACTGTTACTGCCCTGTCACCCACAGGTGAAGTGGATCTTCTCCTCAGTGGTGGAGCTGAAGCGCACGATTGTCCCTGACTACAGGAATATGATTGGACAGCCAGCTTAGGGGTTGCTGGAAGAAGAACACATAGCCATTGGCTTCAGGTGGCTCTATGCACCACTCAGTACCTGCCCCACCATCTGATCCCACTGCCCTAATCTCTCAGTGCCCTCTGACCTTGCTTCCTTGCCTCCCTCCTCTCAGAGAACCTGGTAGACAGATTCTTCCCATAACTAAATAGCATTTACAGCAGTACCAGAAACTCTGATGGAGTCAGTGCACCAGGAAACCCTCAGAGTCAGATATGCATCATTAGTCAGGCAGTATAGGCCAGCCATTTGTGTTCATTTGGAACAGGGGCTCAGATGCTATCTCTTTCCCCAAGCCTGGCTCCCAGAGATGTAGAATCTCAGAGCCTTAGTGGGAACATTCTGCACCAAACAAGGCAAGGGGGCCACCCACCATCACTCCAACAGGACCACTTCCTATGCACTGCAATGCCCATCCTCTCAGCACTCACCTAGCCAGTTCTATCTTGAGAGACCACTGGGATCCTCCATCATCACTTTTCTGGCCCCTAACCTGAAGAACAGACTTATTTTCATTTTGAACTGGAAGTTTGTCTCCAGGTTTTAAAAAAGGGCTTTCCATATGATCTCAGCCAATTGCAGACGAGGAATTCAACCCTAGGGACAAATGTTACCAATCTCTGCATGGAGGCCAGGTGAAGGCCCCACTCCAGGACACCTGCCATATGCCAACCATCTACCCAGCTCCAACCCAAGGGCCACCCTCTCTTTCATATGAGACACCTGAGAAGATCTGGGTTACTTGTATGGATATGTAGGGTCTGGTGGGTTTCAAGGGCAAGGCCTGAGGATGAGGGTGGGTATCTGTTTCAACTAAGAAGGGCATCAGGTCTGAGGGGAAGGAGCAAAACAGCCTTCTAGTGACCAGTGATGCCAGTGGTCAGGATGTGTCATGGGAAGCAGCCTCATGAGCCCCTGGACAGAAGAGACCAAGGATATCAAGAAGTGATTAAATGCCTAGAGGGGGTGTGTGGGTTAGCAAGGCCCTAATGGAAGTTTCAATGACAAATCTGATCACCTTTCTGGGCTCTTGGGCTCTGTGTCTCCCATCATCCCTTGGAGCAAATGCTCTCAGAGGAACCAGAATGCCCAGCCCACATCTTAAGGTAGAAAGAAGAATGACACCAAATAAATGTCACAACAGTCAACTTTGAAGCTTCTTATTTCTTTTTAATTGTCTGAAGCCCGTTTATAATTCTTGCATGTAAATGTGTTGTTTTTCACTTACAATAAAATGGCCTTAAATAATACCATTTACTTTGGAGATAGTCTTCCTATGTGACACTCTGAGCTGTTTGAGTACCAACCTCAGATAAGCCATGAGTCCCAGAGAGTCTAGGATATGCCTAACTTTCAGTACAAGCTAGGGACATCTGAAGCTTGTCAGCACTAGACTGCTTTTTTCTCCAGTACACTTCCTGCCCAGTACACTTCCTGTGTCTCTTCAACATAGTCAGGATGAAGAGGTCTAAGAAATAATCTCCACCCTCACTGGAGAAACTGGGCATTACTAAGTTAGGGATGGTGTGTAACAAAGCATCAGCCAACTCCCATGGTCCCAAATGTTTGAGAACAACAGATCAGAAGCTGTGAATTCTGTAACTGAGATGGGTGGATTGAAGTTTGAGGAAGCTTCTGAGAGTGTCTGCCAAGGTCTGAGAAGCAGAGTCCTGAGGGATTGCATAGGTGTGTCCAGCATTGGTCATGCTGTGCTGAGAAGGGGCCAGAAACAGATGAGATAACCAGAAAAGGGCCAGGGCAGAATCACATCAAGTGCAAGACAGTGGGCTCCATAAGAACTTAATTTCGATTCCTGGTTAGTATATCACCTGTCTGTCACTGGAGACTTGCTTGCTACCATAATATTGAAAAGTTTTCAGTGGAGCTTCCAGGCTAATATAAATTAGAAAGACAGACACAGTGACCTACTTTTGGAAATACTATGGATTATAACGGCCTGATCCACAACCAGTTATGGAGGTGGAGAAAGACAAGCCAGTGTTTTGTTCCATTGAGTATTGAGTCACTATGATTTGGGAGATCACATGCTTACAAAGAACATCACCACCAAGGAGAATTATTTCATTTACAGAGTCAATATAGCTTATCAGGAGACAAATGCATCCTTAACACCACCAGACGGGCCTGGCATTAAACTTAGTGTCTAGTCCCAGAGCCTGAGACTGGGATGGTTGTTCTTTATGGATGGTGCCAAACCATGGACCTTTAAAATGTAAGGATTCCATGCAGCAGAGCAGCAAATAAGGGGCAAAAGGTCCTGGGTGTGTCCTTGTCTATAGCTCCTTGCAAATAAAGGTGTGTGCCATCTGCCTGGAGAGAGTATTGAGCCTCCACGGGGCTACTTCTTCATGTTCTAAACCCAGGCCAAACTCATGTACTGGCATGAATGTGATAAGGGCTGAGATAGCATGAATGTGATAAGGGCTGAGCTACTAATGGTGAAAGTAAATAAAGTGACTGAGGTCACCCCACTAGCATGTGCAGTAGTGGGTCCAAACTTGAAATATGGGCTGAAGGCTAGTAACCTCACCCGACACATGGCTATCTCAAATCTCTGCTCAAATACTTACTGCAGCTGATTGAGACAGAAGAAAGAGACAAGAAAAGCAGGTAAGAGATTGTCCACAAAATTTATCATAAAAGACCACACCAATGAGGAGGCTTAGGGGGACATGATACACAAGACCCAGTTAACATTTTGGTACTCAGAAAACCGGTAGTGAGCCCTTTACCTATGTCCCCATCCTGACTGTAAATCATAATACCACTCCTCACTGTTCAATGTGCCCCCTCCCATCTTGCTGGGATCATGCTGCATCCATGGGAAGAAACTATTCATACCTTTACTGACATAGGTCTTGGTGACCTACTGTGTTCATCATGTGGCTCCTCCTCCATTGCTCCTTTCCTCTTTCATGAGAATGGAATGTTCCAGAAAGCACTTCACCTTCTTCCTGGATCCCAGAACAAAAAGGCACTGAGAACAGATCCTTGCACAATCACAGACAACTGCAAGAGTCATGTAAATGGGCAAGTAATGAAGCGGTGGTGCTGCAAGTTATTTTCAATTGGGGGTTGTTTGTTACCACATCCTGCACTAACAAAATCTGACTGATGACAAGCATTGTCAAAATGTTTTTCCAGAACTAAAAGTAACTCAAATAATCACTAAAATGTAATAGTAACTGGTATGTGCAAAGAGGTTTATAAGGCTATGTAGTCTTCTTGGGCCATCACAAAATGGTGGCTTCAAAGAATAGAATTTTTTTCATTCAAGTTCTGAAGGCTGGAAGTCTAAATCAGGCTCTTGATCATGTCAATTCTGTTCAATGGCTGACAGAGGAACAATTCCATACTTCCCTCCTAGCTTCTAGTGGCTTCCAGAAATCCATAACATACTTTGGCTTGCAACCACATCTGCTCAGTGTTTCTGTCTCCCTGTCTCTGTGTAATTTATTCTGAATTATTAGACCAACACTCAGAAGGGATTAGGACTAGGGCACACTCTACTCCTGTGTGACTTAACTGATAATATATTATTATTAAAATCCTATTTCCTAAAACAAGGTAATGGTCACAATTACAGCGGTTATCATTTCAAAATATCCCTTCAGGGAATACAGTTTGAACCAAACAGAGACTCTTCTCTCATTTCAGGATGATAATATTCCCCAAGGAATGAATCGGCCTCAATTTTGCTGGTAAAGAAACCAAGTATTTAAAGAGGTTTCAGCCTGTTATTTGTGTGTAGAATACAAAAACCTGAACTCATGTATTTTCACACCAAAGTTCATGTGCCTTCTTCTCCTGAAAGTCTCAGTTGAGGAGATTCCAGACACCATCCTGATCTGCTTCTTGCCCTAAAGACTTAACATAGCCACTGAAAGCCATGCTTTAATGAGGTTCCTCCAGTCCAGAGATGGTGGAAGAGAAATAAGAGACAATGGAAGTTCTGTGGCATTGTCCTTTTTTTTCCAACAAAGATTTTTAAATGATGACTTGGTACCAGATGCCTCTAGCCATCAAACACATACAGTTTCTGACTTCAAGGAATTACAGTATGATAAAATAGGTAGGCATCAAGTACATAATTCTACAAACAAATAATTAAACACAATTTAGGTAAGTGTTATGAATGAAATGTATGGGGATATGTCTTAGTTATCTAGTGCTTTTATAACAAATATGGTGGTGATAGTGATAGTGTGCCATGGAGTCAGTTCCAACTCACTGCAAACCTATATAGGGTTTCTGAGATGGTAAATCTTTACAGGAGCAGAAAATCTCATCTTTCTCTCCAAAACAGTTTGTAGTTTTGAACTGCTAACTCTGAGATTAGCAGCCCAACTTGTAATCACTATGCTACCAAAGCTCCTTGTAACAAATACACTGCAAGTAAATTACATTAACAAACAGAAATTTATTCTCTCACAGTTTAGGAGCAACTCTATGAAAAGGATTTTGTCTCATTTTGGCATCTGTGGGCTCAGCATTCCTTGGAAATATCAATGTGTCTTGGAATCAATATTTTGCTGTATCTAGGAGCTTCACAGTGTTGGTTACCCAGGCCCAAAGGATGCACTCCACTCCTGGTTCTTCTTTCTTGTTGCTAGTAGGTCCTCCTGAGCTCTATTTGCCTGTAAAATCTCTTTTATTTATATTTCAAAAGAGATTGATTCAAGATACAACCTAATACTGTAGATTGCATCCTTCCTCACAAATTTCATACAAGTGAGGATTTGCAACACACAAGATATTGACAGCAGACCAAGGCTTATCACACAAGATTGCATCATGGCAAAGGACCTATACAAAGAAAACTACAAAACACTACTACAAGAAACCAAAAGAGACTTACAAAAATGGAAGACTAGACGATTCTGCTGTATAGGAAGACTTAACATTGTGAAAATATCAATACTTCCCAAAGCAATTTATACATATAATGCAATCCCA